GAATGTGCCCTTGGACAGTAGTGCCAGCTTTATTGTGTGGGTAAGCAGTGGAAAAGCATACTGCGAGGTGCTGCCATTTTCTAGAAAGTAGTTAGTTGCCAGCACTTCTTCAGGTGATGCTAATAAATTTTAGAGAGCCATGCCAGATACAGTATATTCATTTGCAAATTGGTCTTCGTCAGACTTTGTTTAATCATAGTTTTGAAGATGAGTTAACCATGATGGGCTTACATTTAGTCCAGCCAATTGATTTGTCTGCTAGTTAGGTATGTGAAATGCTGTCTTCCTCTTTTCCCTTGCTTCTGAAGAACATCTTCAGATTCTTATAAACAGAAGCCATCTGGCAGTTCATAGTTGTTACGCTGTCCAATTGGGTAGACTACTCAAAATGTACTCCCCATGCTTATGAGTAAGAGATTGTATTATATAGTGGGTTCCTCTGTTTGAGAAGTTAGGATTAAGAGTTTTTAAGTGGTGATTTACTTAGTGTCTGAAATTTTGTTTTGGTCTGGGGAAAATAAAAAATGATGAAGTGAGAGAGTATGTGTGTATAAAGAGTAATGAATGTGTGGTATAGGAGAGAATTTATAGGCAATTTCTGGATTGGATTGCATTGGATTTGGGACCCTAATTATTATCTTATTTCTGTCTTCTAATTTTGGTCCAAACACAGATCTACTGTGTGTGGTGTTTGTACATATAAATTGTGTATTGTACAATTACCTCATGCACTGAAAAGAGAAGATTCTTGAAGACAGCATATCTAGTCAAATACCTATTATAGTACCATGAGCTAAAGATGGACTTACTTGGAATCAAACTGACGAAGAAAGAACCACAAAAATTTCAATAGAAATACTTTTCACAAATTTCCAGGTAATTCATCAACTGGGTTGGAACACCATAGGTCTGTGTTGCCTGAGCAAATGACTGAATGGTGGCTGTATTTGGTTGAAAATATAGACAAGCAGTTGAAAGATGAGTCTGGAGCTCTTCACTGTTTTAGCTTGAAGTTTAAGCATACCTGAAATCTTCTTCACCCACAGATGGCAAAGATGAATGATGAGTTTTTTACTCTCCCATTTCCATCTACCACAGTGGCATGAAATAACATTGCACGCTAGTTTTCACAGCTTGGTGCAAATATTTTTCTAGATTGGATTCTGGGAATGAAACTGTTTCCTAACATTTATCATTTATCATCTCTAATGTTGCATAGAAAGAAGCCTTTACTTCAAACCTGTAGAGGTACAAGTGACATTACAGAGACTAACTGTAAGCGTAATAGATTTCTTCTAAAGCTCTCTCCAAACAAGCAGAAGGTAGTTCACCTACATTTGATGGAGTTATTATGTGACAGATTGAGTAAGCGTGTGTGAATACATATGGAATATGTGGTTATTTTTAGTGGCAAAAAAAGTCACGCTTAGAAAAAGATAACTCTGTGGCTTATGTAAAAGTATGGGTGGTTCCTCTTCCTGGTCTTGTTTTTAAAAGTGTAAAGTATAAAACTACAGAGTTATATAAATATTTAAGATATACTATAACATTCAGAATATTTCAGTATGCTTGATTGAAGTGCTGGGTTTGATTTATAAACATCCAATAGTCATAATGTTGTTGCATAAGGAAATAGGATAAGGAAGATTTCTGTTTGAAACGCTACCTGAAGTGTCGTTTCTCTTGTGTTGCATCGGGACTGTGGCTGGGGCAGTATTTTCTTAGCTGTGTCACTGCCAAATCTGAAGTTGTCATGTGACATGCAAGCTATCTTATCCTAAATGGGGATTTAGTTGATTTGGCAAATACATATTGCTGTATTTAGGCTGTCTTATAGAAACGCTTGTGGTTTCTCTGTGTATTTAAAGCAAATACTTACATATACTTACATTGTTTTGCAGCGATTGCATTCTTTTGGCATGTGCTTACATTTCTACATGGATGTTTTGTGCAAATGTAAGTCATTAGCCTGTGTGCAGTTTTGGAGGAGAGAGCCACATAACATATTTGAAAGCAATGTGAAAAATACAGTAATCATACCTCCTTTTAGCTTTAAATGTATTTTTAATTAGCCCACTTGTATGTAGAATTAGAATAGAATATAATTATAATATTATTTTAAATAATATAATGGTTTAGAGTGAATTTCAATCTTTGCTCCAGACACGTGTTGAGAGACACAGTGTTGGTGTTTTTGCTGTTTTCTGACTCTGTCTTACTTTGAGACGCAAATATCAGTGGGATCACTGAAACTCCTTTGAGCAGATGCTGTAGAAACATAACAGTGTTTAAAAAACAACAGCTCTGCAAAAACTTTCACATAGAAATACACTGGTTGCATTTATGTAATTGCCTTTGGCATCCACTGAAGTAAGTTTAAGTAAAAGTTCATCCATAAAATTATCTGCGTTTCTCAGTCTTCTTGAACCTTGATCTGTTTTGGTATAATGTTCTGCACTTGGTAAAGATGCTTTGTGATTGGAGTCTAATCCCAAGTGGGATTACACCACCTTCTGATTCAGAATTTCCTGCTGTTGCAATGCATGTTGTTTTACAGAAATGAGAAGCAACTCCCTGTCAGACACTCATATTGAGGTTGTTGCCAGGGAACAGCGTTAGTGCCGTCTTCTTTCCCAGCTGATGTCAAGGCATTGTGTCTTTTGTAAACTTGTTTCTCAATGGGTTTGTGTACTTGATTTAAATAGTTCAGTTTGAAGTTGCATTTCCCAGGAGAGTAAGCAGTTATCTTTCTATAACCAATTTTTGCTCAAAATAAATAAACCATATTGCAACGACATTCAAGTTGAGAGTAGACATTTATCCTTTATACGGCAGTTGTTCTCACTCAAAGTCTTTTCCATACCTTCCCCCCCCCCCCCCCGCCTTTTTTTTTTAAATTTATTTATGGTGTTCTTTGAGAGCTGTCCTCCATGCATACATAGCAGAAGGGCTGCCCATGCATCACAAGCTCTCAAAGCATGGTTTATCCCAGTGCAAATGCATGCATGTGGGTATGTGTGTGTGCTCAATCCTAACAAGAAAATGAGTGATGCAGTGATCACATCTGTTTTGCTTTCATTTCAGAAAGATTTCTTCCTCATGGCTTTTCTTAGATTATCTGGTTTCTGGCTACATTGCTATTGTAGCAGAGACCAGCTACAGAGCGAGAACTTCTGTGGAGAAGCATCCCTGAGAGCAGTGCTGTTTACCAGCTTTCACAAAGAGCCTGGGAGGACCACAATGCCACATTGCAGGAATACATCCTGAGTAAATCTGAGGCTTCTGCAGAGGATCCTGCAGTCAAAATTCATCTTTGAAGGAGAGGAGGTTCTGGAATAAAGGCTGCAGCCTGTCTGTCTACTACCGCTCTGGGTTGCAAAGCAAACACACGTTCAGGCTTTATAAGCATAAAAAAGAGCTGAGAAGGAAAGAGTAAGCTGCTCTTCAGATTTTGATTGCAAGATTTTCTAGTTTCTAAAGCATATCTTTTTTTTTTTTTAACGTTATATATGTTTATAAACATATGATGCCTTTTCTGAATGCAGTGGATTTTGGTGCACTCTGATTGGACCCGTATAAATGCAGTAAATGTGACTAGTAATTTATCACAGCTTTTGCTAAACACAGAGGGGCTTTTTTAGCTGTGTTACCTGAGTTTCTGTCTGGTTGGATGAAAAAATGCATTGATTTGATGAACGTGTGATGCTTTTGTCTTGTAGTGCAATATTTGCTGTGCATTATTCTTAGTAACCAGTGAATGCTTCTTAAGATTTTTCTCTTGTGAGGAGGAGAGTAGTTAGTTCCTTGCAAGGTTAGCTGCACACCGGCACCATAGGCTGTCACCTTCCAGGAAGGATAATAGGATAATAGCTCATTTTCTGAGCTAAAGTGTTTGTCCTGTGATGAACGAAAGCTGAGGTGAAATGCCAGGAGATCCTTACCCCCATTACTCTTTAGGAGTAGAAGGTGGCAGGAGGGGCAAGTGTTGTTCACCATCTTCAAGCTACCCGAACTCTGAGATCTGATTGACATCGGCAGACCAAGGAGTTGAAAGCATCCCTTCACATGTGGCCAGTTCTGGGTAGGACACAGCTGGATGCTTCAAGGTCTCCTTCAGTTTTTCCTCTGTGCTCGTTTTTGTCCCACAGCATCATTTTACCTCATTTCATGTGCCGTCTGCTCAGATCAAGCAGGTCTCCCTCCTTGACCTCCCCACTGCAATCACAATCCATCACCCTGGAATTCCAGGCCCCGCTAGGGAGCTGTCTCATTTCCGGTATTGATGCGATGCTGTTTATCAATGTTTCAGAGAGCTCAGGTCTAAAAGGGAGTGTTTCTGGAGAAATGTGTAATGCTATCATCTACTGTAGCCACAAAGCTCTCTTTGCAGAAAAACCATCTGGGACTTGCTGCCATGTAGTTTTTAATTTAAAATAACCTTATGACTAACAGAACTATAAAATACCTTGTCATTGTTGCAGCGCATAAGGGACTCAGTAATAAATTAGAAGTCCTCTGTGGTAGGAGCCATAGATAATAACAATAAAACAACAACCTCTGTCTGGAAATACTTCAGTCCAAGTTCATATTTCTTACTTATGCAGCCAAAAATTGGGTTAATCGAATTTCATACCTAAGGGCTTAAGCAGTTCACAACTGGAATATGAAAGAATTTTTCCCCATTCTGGAATGTGGTAGCCTTGTATCTCTGGGAAGCATGCACTTAATGTTCAAGACAAAACCTTTCATTTAAACTTTCCTTCCTGTGTATCTGTTTGATTTAGCAGTGGTTTGTGAAGCATAGGATGCATTTGGCCATCCCAGATTTATGCCCAGTGAAAGAGGACAATAGTTTTGTTTTATATGAAATGTTTTTCTCCTCCTGTTTTGAACTAAGAAGTCAACTTTATGACAAAATCATTAAAAAGCTTAAATGCTGAACTGACTTTTCTCATTTGCCATTTTCGTATGGATATATCTTTTCATAATTGCTTTTCCAGATTGTGTTGGTCAGTGGACATCTGGACAGCTGGGATGTTGGGCAGGGAGCTATGGATGACGGCGGCGGAGCATTTATATCATGGGAAGCATTATCACTCATTAAGGATCTGGGTAAATATTTTATTTAAAATATTATTAATGCATGACATAGCCAGAATGTTTTCTATGTTGTATAAACTGGATTTTCTATTTTATCCATTTCTCTGAGCACAAATTCATACTTAGTATAAATATTTTGCAAGTTTGTCTGTTAAATCTATTTCATCATAGGGGTCATCAAAAAGCTGCACACAAATCAGGGATCTAGTAAGTGCTTTAGCCTTCATATCAGAGAGTGAAAGCCCAGTGTAAGATACATTACTCTTCCCTATTAAAGAAGATGAAGCTTCATGAAGTCACATGAAAATCAGCTTTCTGATATTTTTCTTCACCATCAGCGTTGATGTTGAGCACGTTCTTAAATCTTTCACTGCTTTTCCAGTGTCTCAATTAATTTAATTCCCACACTCATACCTCTGTCTTCATAGATTCTTAAGACAATATAATCTATGTCTCTCTCAAGAACATGCAACAATGGCTGGATCCAGGCCATGATTCTACTTCTGGTCTTTTTCTTTCCACCTGCATGTAAAGACAGTCATCAAAACTGATGTTGAACAGAGATTTATATTTCAGGGTTCCTTTTCCTTGATTGTTCTTCCTAAATAAATTTGTATCCTGCTTAGTCTTGTTACACCAAATACCTTTAAATACAAGTGTATCATCAAGATGGTGGGCTCTAAGATTTGCACTTCAGGGCTGCTTTCCTGATCATCTGTGCTGCTTTTATGTTACCGTGCGCTTGGGCTTTGTTTTGGGCTGTGACAACTTTCTTCCTTAGCAAAAAGTGAAGCCATATCAGAGGAACATGCACTTGAGTTTCATCAGTGCAAGGATATGGTTCTGTCAAATTGTGCTTCACATAGTGTCCTGTCATATGAGTCCACAGTGGACTCATATATCTCATCATGTAATGTAACATAGAGTTCCTGCACACCATATTCTCGTGCTGCAGTAGGTTTGTGTTATGCAGAGCAATGTTCTCCTTCCAGGGATCAGGGATTCCAGGGATTCTTTGAACCTGTCTTGATCACAAGAAGGGTGACAAGTTGACTAAGTTGTGGAATTCAGTCCGTAGATGCTGGACACTTCTGAAGCTGAAATTCCAGCACAAATACTGTCAACCAGGGACTTGCTGGTGTCCCTCCTCCAAAATTTCTGTTCAACAGAAATGTGAGGTGAAGTAAATAGCTATGCTATCAGTCTCTTCCAGTAGTGCTATGGGTAAAATACCAGCATGGAATTGCTCGGCCTACTGCCTCCTGGTTTGCATATCCTCCTTTGTACGATCTGAAGGACCGAGTTCTTTTAGTCATGAGTTTCTTCTGACCTGTGGGTAGAAGCAGGCTGCAGACAGAATGTTGTTGTAGAAGGGCATGACCTACGTGTGCCTGTGTGGGGTGTGTTTTACAGGAGATAGTCTACAAGGTAAAATGAGTAAGGGTGAGTGTATGAGCAAGAAATAGTTGTGCTGGTTGCACTGAGAAAACCATATGTAATTTCTCACAGGCTGGAGGATGAGTGTGGCACAGACACTGTAAAAGAGCTCTGAGGGCAGATCTGGGACTTCAGCTGATGGTTACCATCTCCCAGACTGGGATCTACAGTCAGGTACTGATACCTGAAATGATCTGGACATTAACCTAATTGGCAGGAGTGAAACATCCAGATTCATTTGTCTGTGTTCTCCTTACACATAGCCTCTCAAAGTTTAGTCTGGTATCCTGCTGTTCTTAGTCTGTTGTAGGATTTCTGATCTCCAAAGTACAAATTCCAATCTTTTGCTTGATCTGTAGATTTTTGCTTTTTTTTTTTTTTTTACTTCCATATGGGCTTTTGTCCCTGTGCCCTTCTAAACTAGTTCAAAGCAGACTTCTTAGATTGTTGAGTTGATATCCAGGGATGCTTTTCTCCCTTTTCATCAGACAAAATCGCTTTTTCCTCATAATTCCTTTTTTTCCAGAACTGTAACCTGCGGTCAGTAGGAATGTTCTAAGTGTTCATTAAAAAACAAAGTCGGCTGCTGTTCCTGCTCTTGGCTCTGGCAGAGTTTACATAAGAACCTAGCCTTTCCTGCTTCTAATCAGAAGAATTCATGCACTTAAATAATCTCAGTGTTTCTTGAAGAGCTCTTTGTAGACAAGCTCTGTTATGTGATTAGCCACTCTCACGCCATAATGATGAACATAAGACATCCCTGGGAATCACTATTTATTTTGCATTATTTGAACTCCTTATCTCTCCTTTTTCACAGCCTCGGAATGACTGGAACATCAGTCTGTGACTAAGAACAAAATGCTTGTGTTTGAATTTTTTTCCTTTTAAAAGTGAACTAAAAGGGATTCTTCTACAGGAAAATCTAGACCTACTCTTTCATTTAGTGCTTTGTAATTTTTTTTTTTTTTTTTATGATTCTTGGAAAATTGTCTATGGTTCCTCCCCCTCCAGGGGGAAAAAAAATAAATAAATATTGTTCTTGTATTTTCTGATGCTATTCTATTCAGAACAAACTGTTTTGTGTCCCTTAAGGGCAACTTCATGGTGGCGTTGTATAATTCTTATTCACTGTGCTTCCTCTCAGGCATGAATGAAATGCATCACTCTCTGCTTGTTCAAATATTTGATTTACTCTAGTAGTAGCCTGTGTTTTTGCTGTACAGCTTGTGGGGAAATGCTGTTTTCTCAGCAGAGAAATGTCTGAGCCTGTGCTGATGCCCTCTGTTCTGGTTAGCTGTTGCATTGAGCTCTTCCTGTTAGAGCAGTGTTCTGCAGGAGTATACGAGAAAACATCTGGCTCATCCAATCTAACCTGTAGGCTGTAACGTGGGATAGAACCTTTCATCTTCCATAGGAGAAGATGTTGTTCAGTACAGATTTTACATCTCATAATGCACATAAAATCTGACCAAGAAAAAGGACAGCAAACTGACAGATATGCAGGCTGTTTGAGAAATGCATTAGTGAGTTTTATCTAAAACCAACTGCGTAAATTGCCTTTTTTGTGTGCATTAGTTTCCAGCATTATACCTTGAACTGTGGAGGTTTGGTTTCATATCCTTTTGGACTCTGATAAATTTCATTTCAGTCATATCAAATACATTTGGCATGGGAATAAACCAACAAAACTGTCTCGTCAGTATGTGCATTGAGGTTTTTTACTGTTTACTGGAAGTCTTAAAGGCACAGTGCACTGGGTAGCTGTGAAAACAATGTCTGCATGTTGCATAACAGGTCTTACAGGTATGTGATCTGAAAGCTGAAGTGAGCATTCTGAAATACAAATTTTAGAAAGTGAAACTTGTATTATGTGCAGTGGGGATTACTGCTGCTGTGTCTGCCATAGTCCATTTCTTTCCCAAGAAGTGAGATACTGATACACTATTAAAGCAAGTTTTTTAGTGGTGATCTAAAGCATTCCATCATAATATCAGGGTTACCCTTGGAATGGCCATTAGTTACAAGTGAGGCTTGTTAATTAGGACTTTGTTAATTCTATGCATCACTTGAAGAATGACTGTAATTTAAATTCTATTCTGTACTTTCAAGCTAACCCCTCCCCAAACCTTTCAGTAGCTTTTGGCGTAGGACCATAAAAAATAGATTAATTGAAAAATCATTAAAACTGCAGTATAAATGGTTACATTTTAAGTAGTGCCATTTTCATGCTCTGGTTGAAAGTATCTAATTCTTTTGTTTCTAAATGTATCATCTGCTTAATGTGTTAGGCTTTATGTTTTCTGACTCTTCGTTCTTGGGTTTTGTGTTTGTTTTTTTATTTCAGCTGCAGTTTCTCTGCTATATTCATATCTGTTTTTTAGTTCCTGCTGTTTCTGTAGATTCCCAGGCACTGTAACAGTCAGCTCCAAGTTTGCTGTAAGAACATATAACAATAACATAGTCTCAAGCAAATTCACACAGAGACCTCAACACTGACTTTTTTGAGGGGAAAAAATGGAACTTATTCTTTCTGGTAGGATTTTTTTTTTCCATTTCACTTTTTAACTTCATATGGACTCTGTTTCATTTGGGACAAAGGGAGGCAGCCTGGAGGCAGAGGACAAAGCATCTGGAGGTGAATTCTGTGTCTTTCATACCCTGGTGATGAGAATGAGCACCACTGGTAGTTGCTTCTATCTCTTCTCCTTCTCCAGAGAAAAATCATGGACAGCAAATTCATAGTAAATACCTTCTTTTGGATGGATTACAATTCACTGAGGTGAATCTTTCTCCATGTGGCTATTCCATAACTGCTTGGTACAGAAACTGAACCCCACATTTTCTGTTCTGTGTGTTTACAGCTTTACTCTGGGGGGAGGAAAAAAAAAAAAGCCTGAAGGATTCCTGTCTTTGAGTAGAGGTAATCCATGGGATATTAGACAAGCCATGATGCAGTGGAGGGTACTTGGAGTTGTAGAGGAGACAGCACACAAGCAAATGTTTTCTAGAAGCCTCATACTCATCCTGTTTTCAGATTGGACTTGTGACTCTCCCATATTATTTTTTAGTTTATGTTGAAAAGATGTCTTTGGAGATAATGAATGCCATTTACCTCAGCACTTTGATGTTACAGCCATTACTTCTCTGGTGTTGTCTAAATCATGTTTTCTTGTTCCTGTGCCACTTGAGGTTTACAAAAGAATTTGCCTTTCCAGGTGAGATGCAAGACTGATTAAACAGCTCTTCATAAAAAGTCTCCATAAAATTGTTCTTAACATTATCTGGTTGCCCTACTTCACTTTTAGTTAGCCCTGCAGGTTGGACTGGCAGTCTGTGGGACTCAGTGCAGGACTCAGTGTTGGACTCACTAAATGATGGTTGCCTGTTTCTTTTTTGTGCTCCATTCCCACCTTTTTAAGCCTACTACTGCCATGGTGGTCTTTCTTGGGATTAATACTTGCTGGCAGTGTTTATGAGCAAGAAACAGGTAGTACACATCCAGTGATCTTGGAGCTGTAGCACTGTTTTCTCTTTGCTTCTAATCCAGCTGCATTCCTGCATCTCATGGCCTTGAT